AATTAAACTTTTATCTTATTGTCTGACTTCAAAAACACTTTTTTATTTTTAATTTTAAAACAGCTAACTCATGAATTCATCTTCTTCTTTTTTTGTCCTCCCTCTCGTGTGCGGGTGCGAAACCGTAGCTGCCCCTCACCTTTTTCCTTCTAGCTGCCTTCCACCACTCCTCTTCTAGGCTTTTGCCACTGTTGCTTTATCCCTTCTACCACCATCTTTATCCTGTCGACGGTGTTGCCGCACCGGTTTGTCTACCTTGGGTAAGAGGCTTTTTCCTTTTGCGCAATTAGAGAAGTAACAATAATGGTAAAACTCTTTTTTACTCTTCTGTTAATGTCACATTATTATAATAAATATTATTTTATATAAATTTATATTTTTATATATTTAATTTTTAAATAAATTGATTAATAAAATACTTTATTTTTAATGCATATATAAAGAGTCTTTTCAAATATTATATTAATATTATTTTATTTAACTTATCTTTTATATATTCAAATAAAAAAATTTAAATTAAAAAGGGAATTAAGTTAGTTCACCTTTGTTGAGAGACTTCATTTTATTAACAATATATTTTAATTCATGGAAATTTCACCTGGGTGATTAATAAAAAACGAAAAATGTTACTTTCAATCGGTAGTAAAATAACAATGATTAAAATGTTTTTTTCAAAAAAAAAATTTAAAGAGTCTGTAACTAATTTATGTACACTTCAAGATTAATTAACTATATCTAAGCAAGAATAAAGCTTTTGATCTCAAGCAACTAAAAACCTTAACCATATGAATAAAAAATTACTTTTTTATTAATTATTTAATCAATTATTCTATAAATCATTCTCATAAAGCAATAAAGTTCACTTCCTTATTGCTTTGATTTTTGCCCATACTTATCACGGTTGTCCAACTCCAAGATTACCGGCCAGAATGAACGAATTAGCAGGTACCAACGTATATTCAATTGATTACATTTTATTTATTTGAACTAATGAAGCTACTTAATGTTATATTATTTTAATAAAATTTTTTTCTAATTTATATTCTTATGATACAAGTTAAAGATATATTTTTATAATAAATTTAAATAAAAAATATAAAAATAAATATCAATTTTAGT